CTCTTGAAGTCCCGACCACGCGCGTGCACAAGATAGTGAGCACTTATATGGTCTTGGTACTTATTGAATGAGTGCATGGAGCACAATGAGGTTGTCTTATCCAGCTAGAAGCTGGCAGCTCCTCCGGTCTCCCTCGAAACGCTTATATTCTGGAGCTCACAGCCCGCCACCATGGCGGCCAGTTTCAGCAGTAGATGAGTATGGATGACTCTCAGTCCTAAAGCTTGAAGTGGTGATACTAACCGGGATATACTGGCAGATGGGTGGAGCGAGCTATTCGACCTATCAGTCTTCGCCAGTTGACCTTCTTTGGTCGTACCTTGACTGAACCACGACTCATCAGTTCCGCAAACTACGTGCGGACCGAGCTACCTACTCGGTAAGTTGGGAGACAATGTGCAGCACTAGGAAAAAGATAATCTGATCATGGTCCTCGGATAGCCTTGCGCATCGTCTGCGAGACATCCAGCAGCTGCCATATGTGGTGGTTGCCAACCCCCATCTCACCCTTGTATACGAATTGTACTACAAAGCATTTGAGCGGGCTCGGGTGGTTCCTGAGATCCGGACCCTTGAAGATAATGACCGTTTCTGTGAGATCCTGAAGGAAATGCTTCGAGAGCACCTGGTTGCGATTCCCAACCTGGCGATAGGAGTGCTGGAATGTCGAAATCTCGCTCCTGCGGACGAAATGGACCGGTTAATGAACACACTTCTGCGAGCGGTATGTAAGGCCGACCTCTGGTCTGCCTCCTAGCTAACAAGTATCTCGTCGGTAGCGAATCTCTCGCCGAGTCATCGCAGAGCAGCACCTAGCTCTAACCGAAACCTTCAACTCGCCATGGCATTTCCCCGATTCCCACGACCGAACCGACATGAACGCAGACTTTGTGGGCGAAGTGTTCCTGAAGTGCAAGGCAAAGGAGGTGATCGAGCGATGTGGGAAGGTAGCACAAGATCTGATGCGGAAGATATCAGGGTCGACCCAGATCCCCGAGATCACCGTTAAGGGCCACGCCGACGCGACTTTCCCGTATATCTTGAGCCACCTGGAATATATCATCGGAGAACTTCTCCGCAACTCAGTGCAGGCAGTGATGGAGAAATACCAGCACTCAACCCAACCCCCACCACCCATCGAAGTGCTCGTGTGCGAGACCCCGCAGCATGTGATAATGCGCATCTCTGATCAAGGAGGAGGAATCCCTCGAGAGATTCTGCCATATCTGTGGTCCTTTAGCAAGGGTCCTCGCACGCAGACCCGGCTGGAAAATCTCGGACAAGTCCCTGCAATGGCGGCGACGATGCAAGAACTGCAAGTGTCACACGAGCGTAAACACACCGGCCGGGATTCATACCATGAAGGATCCCTGGATACATTGACATCACGACCGCCAAATCTCCGTCTGGGGATGGGTCTCCCCATGAGTCGAGTCTATGCTGAATATTGGGCAGGCAGTTTAGAACTGCACAGTCTGGAAGGGTATGGAGTGGACGCATTCCTGCAGATATCGAAGCTTGGCAACAAGAACGAGCAGGTTACAACTCGGGCGGCGATTGATGCGGTGTAGGACTTGACACTGGGAATATTACAGGAAATATATTCCCAGTACCTCTACATCTCCTCCAAGTCCGTCTAACGTACCTTCCCGTCAACTGTACTTGCCGTCTATGTACACAGACACCAGCCACATCCTGACCCTGTTGCATGTGGCGGTGCCAATTCGGGATGACGTCATGATCTGTTCACCCAGCAAATCAGCTTCACGGGTGCCTCAGCCCTACCAGTTCCCTTTCAGTTCGTGACGTCGTGGCCAAGATCAAGATGAAACGCCTTAACTCTCCCGTGGATGACAACATTCCTATTTATATCTTCATCCTCCTCTTTGCAATCCTCCTCAGTTTTCTGGCCACCACCGATTTCAAACCTCGATCTGCCAAACCTGAACAATAACACCACATACATCAAACACCACAATCATGGCCGGCACTTGCTCGACGCTTTGTTTGATCATCATCACCCTATTCAGTAAGTAGATACCTACTCCGCTGCTGGAAACCTACACCAAAACACCAAAACACCAAAAAGCCCCACCCACATAGTGATCCCCAGGTCGCCCCTCAATCTATCAACAATGAACCTATCCCCACCAGAATGATCCGCTAACAAAACCACACAGTTCCCCCTCTTGGTGTCTTTATGATTGCAGGCTGCGGAGTTGACTTCTGGATCAACGTCCTGCTCACAATTCTTGGGTGAGTCTTATACCAGATATCCAGACTTCCGCCATACTCGAAAACTAACCAGCGATATCTCCCAGCTACTTCCCCGGCCACATCCATGCCTTCTATTTGGAATACGTCTATTATGATCGTCGCGATCGCGACCCACTGACTCGTGCCTCTCAACGGCCCGCACCCGGCGTTTACTCCGATCGCATCCAGAATGGAGGCCATCGTCACACACCCGCAGACCGTAATTACGGTACCGTGTGATTTTCCTTCCATGACCTCGAACTCTTATATTCGACATGCTTGACCCAGTCTGTCGACGGTCGGCATTCTCTATGAATTTGAACCTAAGCGAGCCTTTACCTCTGCTGTATCCATAGCGTCGATCCATGTCCTTCTTTCGGGTGTAACTGGACACTTCTGAAACAATAAATAAGTCGAGAAGGATTGTTTTCCACTCTCCAATGACGATGTGATTCATATGTATCATTTTCAAAATGCAACAGTAGGAGGTGAGTATTCTAGCCAAAGCTCCAAAAGTAAACAAAAAAGGTAGATTAGATCCCAACTCCCTATCTCAACAGACCCAACTAAAAGCCTATACACTCGCCTTCTCCACCTTCTCCGCCTCCTTAGCCCTCTTCTCCGCAGCAGCCTTCTTATTATCCTTCACCTCAGGGAAATCAAACGGCTCACTACTAACAATGGTCCCCGCGGTCCTAGGCACCGCACCGGTACCAGGCGCCCAGAACAAAGCCCCAACCCAAGGCTGAACATTCCATCCAACATGAAGAGTAACATTCTGACGTTGCGCCAGACGACCAGTAATATCACTGATCTGGTACTTACCCTTCTGACCACGCAGCCTCAAGACACCGGTAGCCAGAGCCTCCTTCTTACTCTTAGCGGCCTTGGACGACTTAGCATGGCGCTTAGCATTCCTTTTCGCAGCGGAGACAGCATCCGACGAAACGGACGCGGGAAGAAGCGCAACGACCTGGTCTTTGAGGATGTCCCATGAATACGGCGACGGGGTCGCGGGAATGATAGTGTCCCAGATGATGGACTCTGAGACGCGGACCTGCGAGCCGGGTTTATCGGAGGAGGAGTAGGTGGCGTAGACGTAGACGAAGAGCTGTTTTGTGTTCCAGTTGAAGAGTGGGCTTAGGTCGGCGTCTAGGTCGAAGCGGAACTGGGCGTATTCTTCGCGTTTGGTGGAGTAGTAGTGTGGTCGGCCTTTGACGCTGTTATACCGGGAAATGGGGTCTTAGTAAATGGGGTTGCCTTTTTTGGTTTTTTGGTCTCGGGAGAATATAGCGTTTGAGGGAGAATGGAAATCGCGATCTCACTTACACCTGCACGTTCTTCAGCTGCACTGAGGCATTGGTCTCGTCTGCTGGGAATAAGAGGACCGAGACGGCTGCCAGTGCGCTGACGACCAGCGCGACTGTAGAGAAGAAGCCGAATACGGACTGGATGCGGTTCAAGGAGGAATGCATGGTGTGTTGGGAGACGAATTGAGAAGATGAAGCCAGCTGGGCCTGTTTGGATGTTTGGGTCTTATCGATAAGCGGCATCTATAAACTGGGGGTTGTCATCTCCGCATAGACAACTCTCATAGCTTTGTTCTTCTCTCTTCGTTTGATTTTCTTGAAATTCTAAGTTTCTGCTGGATTTGCACATCTATGTATTTCCTCAAGTCAAGTCCATAGAATTCATTATCTCGAACTCTCACTCAACCCTCACTCAATAACCAACCAACCCACTCAACCCCACACCAAACACAAACACAAACACGATGGGCGACCACGTCCTCTTCTTCTACGGTAAGTCCCTCTTGAATCAAGAAAAACTAAAAACTAAAAACCCTCCAGGAACCCTAATGGCCCCCCAAATCCTGCACAGAGTAATCCACGGCCAGGCGAACCCAGAACCCTGGCAAAAAGCCATGCTCCGCTTCCAACCCGCCATTCTACACGGGTACCGACGACATCGCGTGCGAAACGCCGATTACCCAGGGATCGTGGCACTACTGGAGCCACAAAGCGAGATGGAGAAGTCATCTGCACCGAGAACCAGCGCTGGGACATCAGTCATAGGAACCCTCGTGTCGGGACTAACAGACGGCGATGTTCATCGACTGGATAGGTTCGAGGGCTCTGAGTATGAGAAGAAACGGGTTACTGTGCGCACGCTGCGGGAAGCGCATGGTGGTGATCACAGTCATGCTGGTGAGGGGGGTACTGCTGAGAGCCAGTTGCGGGAAATACTACATGCGACGGGTGCTCAGGTTGCTGGTGAGGGGGGAGGAGGTTTCGGCTGTGACTTATGTTTACACTGCTGGGAAGGACATGCTTGAGGATGCGGAGTGGGATTTTGAGTCGTTTAAGAGGGATAAGATGGCGTGGTGGGTTGGGGCGGATGAGAGTGAGTGGTAGTCAGCTTGTTCTTGTATTTATGTCTATGTAGGTATTATTGATACTTTGCTCGAAATAACAATTAAATTCGCATTGCGATGCGGACGATGGTATCTGATGCTATGACCGTAAAGACACGAAGAAAGAACACCATCCTTCTCTCATTGAAGCTGACGCAGGGCTATGTGCACGCTGAAATCGCCATGACGCACACGGGTTAAAGTTAAAACGCTAAAACAACAGTGAACATATGGATTCATGATGGAGATGGTCAGTTCCGGTCCAGCCGGTACTGTGTTTGGATGTCGAGATTATCTTAAACAATAGGGTGTATCACTTAGATGAACAGACTCATCTCTTTCGCGAAGGGCCTCGTGGGCTTTGTTTCTTTCGTTCTTTTCTTGTAAGGGGCGGTGTGCCTGGCACTTCGGGCTCTTCCTGGCTACCGGGTACTTGGATAACGGGTTCCTGCTTTGGTGGGGCAACATGATCATTTTGCGACTTTGCGTCTGCAGGTGGGTTGGAGAATGCTTTGTTTGGTTTCGGGTTGTTTGATTCCGGGGGGTTTTCGGTAGGTAAGAGATGCATCTGGTCCGCGGTTGAGTCTTCACTCGAGTCTTCAGTCCCTGAATTGGCAGTCTTCGCAGGGTGCTTTGAACGATCCGTCTCATGCTGAGACTCAGGTACCACATCAACACTTGGAATTTCCTCCTGACAAGGAAGGGGCGGGCCAAGCAGGAATGAAACGGGTTGTCTAGCTGCCATGACAGGCTCATCGGCTTGTCGCTGTTCCTCGTACAGCTCGTCCAGGAACTTGCCAAGACGGTACCGCAGGAGACCTGAGCCTAGTGGAGGCCAGTCATCCTTAGAACTCATACTCCGCTGTAGCACCTTCGTGATGAACCAATCAGGGCTTTGAACAAACTTCTCCAAGTATGCTAGCAGGTAAAGACCGCAGTCCCAGAAATTGGGCTGAAGGGGGATATCGCGAGCTCGCATGCCCTTGACATCGTTCGATTCCAGTTCCACGCCGCGTTTAGACACAGCTTCGCGGCAGATGTACTCGCGTAGTATTCTGATGGTTGGGGAGCGAGGCATGTCGAGGGAGTCAAATGTGATGATGGTTGTTTGGTTGGGATCCAACTTCAACCCGGTTCGTTTCTTCTTTGATTTGTTTGTCGGTTGCGAAGCCGCGGCCTGGTCTTGGGCGAGCTTTTGGGCTGCGAATTTGGAGAGATTTGGGGGTGGAAGCGGGTTCTTCGCACCCTGAATCGCATGTTCATCTCCCTCAATCTGCAGAGAAATGAAGTCACCCCTGATCTCAGGTTCATTCCGAATCTCACGGGGTTGACTGGCTTTGTTAGAAGCGCTGAGCTCTGACTTTGACTTTGGTTCCGGCTCAGGGGTCTCTTCAATTTCCTGGATCTCACTCTCAGATGCATTGGATGATTCTTTCTGCAGAGTCGGTGTTTGAACCGGCTCTACGGCGTCGGCAGAACCAAGAGACAAACTTGGCAAGTTGCAAATGATCGCAACGTACCAATGCGCATTCTCGTTAATCGGAACGACGATATAATCATAACTGAAGAGATCGACGTTCCGAGTCCACTTCTCTACACCACCGTAGTTGATCCCACGGTGGCCCCGTGGGGTGTTCGTGAGAGTCGCAAAGAAGTAGGTGTTGAAGAAGTAGACCCGCTTGGCAGCCTCTGGGTTGGTGCGTTCGAGATGATCCTGGAGGAAACGCATGTAGAGAGCGATCAGGTTATCGTTCAGGAAGTCGTCCCTAAGTAACCGTTCACGATCGCCAAGTGTGACTTCGGCCTTCTTCTTTCCATTTCGCGGATACACCAACGGTTTCTTCCAATTGTGCCTGAAAGAATCATCCCTGTGAAGTGAGTTCGAGTTTGCTTCAGATGTAATCTCTCCATTCGACGCGCCGGGCTTGTTAGCGAGACGGCGGGTAGAAGATCGGGTCTCGCGTTCCAGTGGGTTGACGGTAGGTCGAACATCAACTCCAGTATGGGCATCAAGATGTCGGGAATTCTGTTGCTCTTTGGCAGACGTTCGAGAATTGACATTGCCGTTTCCATCTCTTCCGGTTTCCTGAGCAGCACATTTGATCTCAAGTGAATTGACACTGTTGACTTCACCATGGTCATCTCTCAAGGATTTTGAAAGTTTGGGCCGTCGTGAGGGAGGAGGAGAGTGCGCAGGATCGCGAGCTTCCACCAAGTCATCATCAAGAACCCGCTTCTTGGGCAGCTTTTTCTCCTGTGGGAATTGCTTTTCATATTTCAAAAATGCCTTGTCCATCCATTTCCTGTTCCAATGTTAGTGAACTGCGAACTCATCAAAAAGAGAGCCCAAAATACTTACATCTCCTTGGTATGACGCTGTAGTTTAATATGATTGGCTTGTTGCAACACTTCCAGGAACTTGAGCTTTTCTTCGGTGGTCCAAAACTCAAGATCGAGCTGGTCGTCCTCTTGGATGGAACCTTGCGACATTTTGATTCTCACTTTCCGGCTGGGCGGTTCGCCGGTGATAATCTGATGAATTTGCCGGAAAAGTATCGATATCGTGTTAACCTCGCCGAGTGCATCCTCACGAAGTTCAAGACCTTCCTTGTTGGAATAAATTGGGACGAATTGCCTCATATCGCAAGATTTGCCCAAGGTGCCGATTCGGAAATATCGCGCTAGATGTTTCTTATCAGAGTTCTTTTGAGAGATCTTGGCCTTTTTGGTGACCGGTGGTGGCGGCGAGTCTGGAAGTCGGGTATCGGACGGGGAGCGTTTTCGAGTCGGTGTTTCTGTGCGAATTCCGGGTTTGGATGGGCGAGTGGATTGGAGTTGTGTTCCTGAGAAGGATCGCAGTACTGGATGTGTGGTGATGTCGCCCTGAAGCTCATCTGGACTTTCCCTGTTGTTGACAGAACGATGGGAGTTCGTCGAAGGAGCTGCAATGCGATTCCGACCAGCTCTCTTTGGTCCAGCCTCAATGCTTCCAATGACAACGGCCTCATTAGTCTGGTTTGATTTGCTATTGACATGAGACAGTCGGAGATCCGTAGATCTCGCCTGATTTCGCCGTTGCTGCGCTGCTGTTTCGGTAAACCTTTCATCCTGAGAGTGAGCAGAAGATAATTGGCCATGATGAGGACGAATAGAGCTCTCGGCTACTTTGACGCCATTCTCCGCGTCCCTGAAACCTTCATGTCGGTTGCGACGAGTTGCGTTTGGGTGGTAGAGGGGGGACGTGGGTCCCTGTCCCAACCGATTCATAGCTGAAGTTGCTGGGGCCGTAAGCTCAATGGCATCGCTGGTTTCACTCTGGCGCCGCATCTTGGTTGGCCGACTCGACTCTTCGAACTCATGCTCAAATTGGGGAGACTTTCTCCGTGAAATTTGTTGATTTGATTCTCCGTAAGAACGGACCGGCCCGCTGCTTCGGGCATTCTGATTTTGTGAAATTTTGTCCCGGGGGGAGAACGCGAAGCTAGACTGTGACCGAGGATCAGATGGGATGTCATAGTCACGGAGGTAAAGGCTGGCATTTACCCCTGGCTTCTTGTTCCTAGAATTAACTCCGGGCTGTATCTTGACAGCGTTAGAGTCACTATCAAGCAAAAAAACCAGCCGGTTAGCAATAATATCTCGAACAACTCAACACACACTCGTAGAACATACCGATATCTGGCTCCGAGCAAACGAGCCTCATCTTGCCGATTCTGGGAATCCTTCTGTTGGTCCTTGTTCAACATCTGCGACGAATCACCCGGCCTGGGAATGGGTGAGGGTATCAGCTTTTGCCTGCCGGCAGGGAAAGGCTGTGGGTTCCGATGGGACATGTCTAACCGGGTATTGGGATTTAGAGAAGGGTGGGAGAAACGCGTGCGCAATGGTTCGTCTGCGGTTGTAGATCCGGTTGGGGACGAAAAAGTATCGACATAACTATGACCAGTCTGATAAGATTGATTAGTCCCAAGTCGAATACCTGACGGTAGCTTGCAGCAAGAAACCAGGCAGAGCCGGAGAGATAAGTGCGCAAGACGAGGAGATTGTGGAGGGTCGAGTTATCAAAAAGGAATATGGACGGCCAAAAGCAAATATCGGCGGGACGCGCATGGAAATACGGGAAGATACACACAGTTTGAAAAGGAGCGATCCCAGCGTTTTGGGGAGAGGTAGTTCCAGTCAGGTTGGTTTCGTCAGATACCAGGGTAAAAGGATTGCGACTAGATCCAGCTGGTCGAGAACGAGGAGGGGTCGAGGGCGGTGGTTGAGCCCGTCGAGCAGCAGATCGTTGATCTTCGGTCTCGCGTTTGCGTCGCGGTGACAAGTTAGAGAAGAGCTCGACTAGGTTTTTAAACACAGGCATGGAGGCAGCCACAGGGTCATGACAATATGCATTGCATAGATCTCATTCCAATTGAATGTTTGTCTATTGTCTCTTTTTTTTTTTCATTCATGGGACCCAAGTACGCCGCATCGTCATCTGGGCCCTAGGGCGGTCAGCATTAATTGGCGCCCGAGGATTTAGGCATACAGACTTTCACTTGGAATAACTAGCTGAATAGATGAATAGATGTAATATGTTGGTTGCGTAGTCTGAATGATCCACTTTATTCATACTCTTTTGCCTCATTGACACTATTCACAATAGCTCAATGCCCCAATAACCCAATAGCGTCAACAATGCAAGCAACCCAAGAACCCTACATGCTTGTCAGGGTTTCTGGCTTATACCCATATCTCGGGGCCATGCACTAATACCTTTGGTTTCCTTGTGTATACATAGTTCTAGTTGGAATATCTGACAGAGCCCTAATGCTGAACAGACTAAGTCTAAGTGAAAGGGCTCTGCTTCGTATAAAAACAACCCAATTCACACAAAGGATAGAAAATACTCCCAGACGAGAAAACCAATAGCAGCTGGTGCTGCGTTCATGTTGCGTACATAAAGGAAAAACATCACGCATGAGCTCGGCAGACACAAAAAAAAAAAAAAACACATGGCACAGATGAGTTCACTCAAGACATAAATCAAATCAAACCGCTTAGTTCGCCTCGATGCCCCACCGCCCTAAGACCCAAACGCGTCCCAATGATTCGTGATTGAAGTTTTTTTTTTCGGGTTTACTATACAGGGCCCAAGGCCAGGCTGGGATATTGGATCCGTTCATAGGGCCATAGGCGCTTTGACCTTGTCCGAGTCATCTTGGCCTGTACGTCGCCGTTCTTGATGACCCGTGCCGGTAGCGGTCTTGTCGTGGCGAGCCTGATCGATGGCAGAACGCTGTGCAATACTGTCGTCGTGGCTCTTCCAGATGATGTTGGTGTCTGCCGGGAAAGAAAGCAGGCGCTTGATCGTTTCTCTGGAACCAAGTTAGATATACCGCACGACAGTGAAATAAAGCAGGTTTCTGTTCATACCTGATCTTGATGTTGCGCCCCCCATCAATCCTCGTCCACACACTCAAAACATCCTCGCCGCCTCGGACGCTCAGTACAGCGCCACAGACTTCATCTCCAGCCTCCGCAAATTGGTCCCCAACCATAGCTAAGAGGAGATCCTCCCAGTATCGATCGGAAACCCCCTTCTTGAAACGTACGATCCACTTACCTCCCCGCTTGTTCGACTCATCTTCCCAGACGGGGCGAATTCCCTGCTTGAAGATGTGGTAATCGGAAACCGTAGGAAGAAGCGAAGGGCGTTTAAGATGAGAGTACACCGCCCAGAAGCTCTCTACCGAAGATATCGAAGCGAGCGGCACAGTGGACTTTTCGTAGTCGGAATATTTGGGTGTCGGGGGTCGGTACCAAACGATCCAGGTAGACTTCAACGGGTGCTCACCAGGAGCAGCGACGGAGTGGTTCTCAAAGGCCTTGCGGGTAGCCTCATCATGTTCCAACGGTAGCTCCCGTCCGGGTGTTTTCAACTCGGAGCCACCGGGAGTCTTCGGCGCACCGAATGAGGCGAACGCGCCGGACCCCAGGCCGAAAGCGGAGGAGGCATTGGTGGATGGCGAGGAAACACCGCCGGATAATGGGGATATTGCGTTAAATGGATTCGAGCGGCCATGCGAGCTGTCGGGTCCGAATCGCTTGGATGGGCGGGGCAGTTCGACACGGGCACTGTCTTTCGCGTCCGCTCCGGACGTTGACAGGGACAACTTGGACGAGCTAATAAAGAGAAGAAAACCACCAGATAAGTTACAATGGTCACCTGGAAGAGGAGGGGCACACGACTAACTTTGTCCGGCGGGTCCACAGGTTTGCATTATCCATCGCGGCGGGTGAGAAGACTGCCCGAGACACGAGCGGTCATCAGGGGGAAAGAAAGGAATCCGTAAGAAGCGTTACACAGAGAAATGAGACGCCGGCGCTATTAACTCAGTGACGTAGTATAGTGGCCGATGGCGGGAATATTCTGAAGAGGAAATTTGGGGGAGGGAACCAGGGAAAGAAAGTATGAGTAGGAAAGAGGGAATATGAGAGGATATTGTAATGAGGCTGTTTAAAAAAGAAGAGAAATAAAGAAACAAATGTATAGAGGGGGAATCAGGTTGAAGGGGAAAAGTGTCGATATGAATCGGAGACTCGACTGCAGTTTGGAGGAGCTGTTCTAACCAATCACCGCCAGGATAGCCCCATTTTCGCCTGCAGCCCGCACCGTCTTTTTTCCAGTTTTCCCTTTTTCTTTCGTTTTTTTTTTTTGGTTTTCTTTCTTTTCTTCTTTTTATATCAAGACCACCAACTCAAATCAACGCTGGCGACTCATTCTTTTTACAGCACTGGCGTTTCCGATGTGTGTGTCGAGATTAAATTGATCGCATCTAAAACCATCATCACGAGGGCTTACGAGCAACCCATGAAACGTTGATGACCTGATTGACGGCACATACTTTTCTTTTGTTTCTTTATGTAGTAATAGGGTATGTTTATTCAATAGCAATCCCATTTCCATTTCCATTTCTATTTTTATGTTTCAAACGCAATGAAGAAACTCTTTTGAGCTCTCTGGTAATCCGAGGACTCAACCGCCCTACTACTTTGGCCTTCGGGCTCACGGGCTGGTTGAGCATGCGGTAAACAGGCAAAGTCTGAGCCATGAAATATATTTTGAATATGCTATAGCGGTGTCTTTTAGTGATGGACAAGGGGCTAACATGCAGTAGCTTACCCAGGTAATACATCTCTATTAGAATGCAGCACAATTACATCGACATACATCAGTCCATTATACTTGACCATAAAATATAATAACTTTGATCTAAATTTTCCTTGATCAATGGGCAATATGTGACAAAAAAAAAACAAGCCCGGAAGAACCCAAATACCTAGGGTAGTGAATCTCGTGAAAAGTAAATGCAAACCATTCCACCAACCATGTCCGATGCAATAAAACAGCCAAAAAAAAAGAATAATAAAATAATTTGCCAATCAAGAGTCATCACTGAGCAGAGACACGATCACTTGAATCTTGCTTGGTTCGCTTGGAATCCCGATCGCTGCTGGGCACCGATGCATCGGCCTTGCGCTTGTCGCGGTCCTTTTGGTTCTGGTACTCGACGCGCCGAGCTTCCTTACGGAGCGCCTTGGATTCAAACTCGTGCCAATCACCTTCAACGTGTTCCAATCTGTAGATAAAGGTTAGCAAGGATAGTATACACAAGAGAGCGTGGGGAAAACGTACTCGATCGGGGGGTGAGGAGTTGGTTGCTCCGATACGAAGTATGGATGTTTAAGAACATCCTCGGCACTCGGCCGCTGTGAAGGATCGTAGCGGAAGATCGAGGAGATAAGATCCATCGCACCGCTTGTCAGCACATCACGGTACACATCCTCGAAAACACGCTTCCTTCGTTCAGTTGGCCGCATCAGGTGGAACCAGGGCATCTCCACAAGGTCCGGCCACTCAGTCTTGGTAGGAGTACCCAAAGCATTGTATATCTTGTCCATCTGACTCAATTCACCACCTTCACCGGGGAAAACAGCCTTTTTAGTGAACATCTCCATGCAGACGCACGCAGCGCTCCACACGTCGACAGCAGGGCCATATCGGGTTTCACCCAAGAGGAGTTCCGGGGGTCGGTACCAGATGGTGATGACTCGGTTAGTGTAGTCAAGTTGACGACTTTTGGAGAAGAATCGGGCCAGGCCAAAGTCGGCAAACTTTAACAATCCACGATTGCTGATCAATATGTTGGCTGCTTTGATGTCACGATGTAGAACCCCTCGATGGTGAAGGTAATTAAGACCTTCGAACATTTGCTTCGCCAGATCCTTCTTGTGAGAGAGAGTGAGAGAGAAAGTGGGGTGATTGATCAGACCGGTCAGATCGTGAGAGAGGTATTCAAAAACCATGAAACATTCGTTCTTTTCAACCATGACCTCCAAGAGGCTGACGACATTATGGTTTCGGAGATGCTGAAGCAGCTTGATCTCTCGAACAGCCGTGACAGGGAACCCATCCTTCTCGCCCTCCATTCGGATCTTCTTGAGTGCAACTTTACGCTGGGTATAGACGTGGATTCCTTTGAACACTTTTCCATATGTTCCAGCGCCGATCACAGACTCATTGCCAGGCTTTCGGTAGTACACAGATTCGGCATTAGCGAACTCCTCAGGAAGCGTGGGGCGTGGTTTCGGGCGAGTAAGAATCCGCTTCTGCTTGGGTGGTGGTGCCTCTCTCGGCGGCTCTGGAGAAGGGTCACGGCGGCGATCTTGCCAGTCCGAGGGTCTGTCTGGGGGCCGTTCTCCTTGTCTTCGATCACGACGTTGATCGAACCGGCGATCATCTCTGCGATCCCGTGGATCACGGAATTCTCGTGGCTCCCGGAAATCTCTGCGGTCTCGATCCCGATTTCGTCCACGGTCCCGGTCACGGCGATCAGCCCTTGGATCTGGTTTGAATTTGGGCAATGGCCCATTGGTAAACCGATTGCGAGGTTGTTGGGGTGGCTCGGGTGCACGGGGAACCGGCTCGCGGACCTGCATCCTCTGGGCCAGGTCAGGTACTGGCTTTGGGGCGGGAGAAGGTGCAGCCTTTGACTTGAAAGCAAAGCTAAATTTTCCGCCCTTGTTTGCCGGCGTCGTTTCAGTGGATTCGTGGGTCGGGGGTGGCATGGACGGAGGAATTCCGCCAGCGGATTGGGGTTGTGTCTGGTTCTCCTCTTCATCCCTATTGAAGGGCCGGGAACGATTATCACTTTCGCCAGGTTGGGGAGATTGCGGGTCATTGTGAAACTGTGGTCGGTTGGGAGTTTGTGACCCATGACTGTGTGCCGGGTGAGGGCTATGTTGTCCCCCACGGGCTCGTGATCCCGATGCAGTCCATTGCAAGTTGTTGAAATGCCCCCTCGCGCCGCGTTGTGAGGGTCCATTGTGATATGGATGAGGACCAGAGCCAGAAAATCGCCGATCGGGGCCCTGGTTTGAAAAGTTTCCTCGATGGCCGCCACCGGAGTGGCCACCTCGGTGAGGAGGTCCGCCATACGGAGATTGAGGGTGATGATTGCCAGGGCCGTCAAATTGACCTTCATTCTGATAATAGTTTCCATTTTGCGATGAATAGTCATCATGTCGGTAAGGAGAGGCATGGCTTAAATAGAGTGTTAGTATAATTCAGAATGTAACATGAAAGTGAAAGCAATAAGAAACTCACCCAGTTCCAGAATACGGAGGCGGGCCAGACCATCCTCCTCGTCCTGCGGAGTAAGGTGAAGGCGGTTGCGGCGAACCGTGGTATGAGCCTGTGGATGTTGCGTTTTGATGGTTTCCATGGGGCCGGGTATCAAGATGTGGTCGAGACGGCCGACGGCGAGGCTGGTTATTCACATCAGAGCGCATCGCATGCATTGGCAACTCATCTCGGGGCTTAGTAGTTTGTTCTCCGGGAAGACCGAAGTTATCGGAGTTAAAACTCGGAATCGGGCGCGGTGGAGATGGAGACTGAGCAGTATCGTCCACAACAGACTGGATTGGTCGGTTTGTGTTCATCGCCGAATCACGCCTTGACCTACGAGAAGATTCAGAATATCTCGAGGTTGCAGACCGTACGGAGTGCCGTGAGTTCGACCGATAGTGAGATCCGTGGTCGCTGTAATTGTCACCACCGGGGGTACGAGACCGTCGATCGGGCGAATGATGAAACCCTCGTTCATGAACTGGTGATCTAGACCTTCCTGGACGTGGGATTTCTGGACGACGACGGTCTTTTCCACGACGGTCCCGGCCCCGACGTGGTGATCTTCTTCTCGGAGCACCACGGCCTTGGTTGCGGCCACCTCGTTTCTTAAATGAAGGACTTCGATCCCGGATATCCCAGTTATCGGAGTAATTTGGGCGCTGTGGGGGGAGAGGGCCACGGCCGCCACGCGGTGAGGGGCTTCGAGTCCTTTGCCGTTTCTGAGGAGGTCCGGTTGATGACTCGTCTCTTCGAAGACCGGGGGCGGCTTCTCTGTCGAAAGGTCCGGAAGTGTGGGCGGTCCAGTCACCGGCTGATGACACAGGTTGGGTTGAATCTAGTCGACGGCTGTTGTGAAATTTTGGAGGTGGAGGAGAACCTCGACGAGGAGATCGATCCGGAGCGAAATCACCTAGGTCGTGAGAAGAGTCAGGGCCAAAGCGGGACGCGCGTGGTGGCGACCGCCCGGGGCGATCGAAATTGCGGTTATTGGGCCGATATGGACGGCCTCGGTCACGGCCTCTGTTTCTCCCTCGATCGCGGCCTGACCCTCGACCTCTCCGTCTCTCCCTGTCACGGGGATCACGGTCTGGGTCAGCACTCCACTGGTCTCTCAACACCGGACTCGTACGGGACCCAGCCATGTGAGCGTCGCCAACGGCATCTGGTTCAATCAGGGGAAATGGAGAATGTCAGCGAGGCCAGTCCTTGGAAGAAGCCTTGAACTAGAGATAATGATGAGAAAGCGCAGTGAGCGATGGCGTCCAAGCGTGTCTGCGATCGCAGGCGGAAGTCTTTCGGGTTGGGGGGACCCGGAACGATGGTTCTTCCAGATTCCGAACTGTGCACACTATCAAGCGCTGGTGAACAACGTGAACATAAGCAAGGGGAAGGTTGAATGGGGCATACGCACCAATTCAGATTTATCAAATACACCGTCTCACCCTTCCAGGTAACGAAAGAACACTACTTGGCCGTGGAGGGTGGGCTTTCCAATGTTGGCGACCTCGGGTTTGCTGACTGATCCACGTTGCGGCTCTACAACTTGATTCGACGCCGGGATGCTGGAAGGATGGCGTGCAGCTATCGAAGACAAGTGCAATCTGTACTTCTCTTTGCTCCTCCGAGTTTCTTTTTGGATACCGAATGTGTCGAGTATGTGTTTTCTCAGCACATGACGATCTGATCAGGCGGTGCCCAGGTGTTGGAAACAGACATGCTAGCCAGGCTAGCATATTGTCTCCTTTGTGCTCGCCCTGTTTTGTACAGCAGTTGCCTGTTTTTGGCAAATCCACATTGAGACTGCGTTGGCTTGTCCCACGAATGAAACTATCTACGTATTGCACAAGGCCAGATGGGCCAACATTCCCGAGGCACCATTGTGAACAGGATAATCCCGCATGGGATTATCAGGTCACACCATAAAATCAATGGCTGGAATCCCTTATCATTCTCCCCCTAGGATCATAGAGTTGTTGGTCAATTTGGAGGACCGATCCAACGCGCTGTGATTCTCTGCTGGAAACAACTCTGATGCTCCGTATCACACTCAGCCGGCCAGTTTTCGATGTCTTGTAAGTTGTAGATTTGTCAATTGTCGAAGTTCGAGTTGTCATGCACCAGGAAAAGAGTGCATGCTGGAATGAAGCTTTGTCGTGATTTACAACAGATAGACTGATGGTTGACTATCTGGGCACAAATACCACTGGGACAGAAATGAAACATGGGCGGAATCCCCGATTGTGACGTCGATTTAAGCCGACCTTTGCGAGTTCTGTGTCTTTATGATTCTGCCGCACAAGAATGCGAATTCATGTTGGTGATATCCAGGTGTCCAGGTCGGTTGGCTAGACAGAAGGCTGGCGACAATGGTGGGGAGCATACCGAATGAGGGGTCAATGTACGAGACGGTCAAGGCAAGAAGAGCCTAAAAACAATGCTGGTTCCACCCCAATCCAATCCAGTAGAATTCGCATGCCCCCAAAGTTGCGGCCGAAATGCTAGAGACTAGGCCCTGCGCTCCGCCTCCCATATTAAATAATGAGATCAATTCCAGGACCTGAAATTGACAGTTTATAATCTAACAGAGAGCAACATCTCATGATGTGGATGTGGTTGCAAGGAACTCAAGGCGTGGTCTGAAAATCAGCCCGAGATAGAGCGGGATGGGCTGGAACACAAACCCCCGGCCATTCTCACCCGGGGAAAAAAAAGGTACATCCCCCGGAAAGACAAGCTAGATCAACGAAAAAAAAGGTATCGCTGTATAATCATAGGGGCTCACCTGGGCACACCATGCCGAATCAGCGAGTAACTAAGAAAGCAAAAAGGAAGGTTGATGTCATGGGCAGGTCGAAGTTGTGCCGGAACTGAGCGTGGGGTCACATGGGGTCACATGGGAATCACGTGATGTCATCTTGTTTACGAAGTATCCAACACCTCTTTGAGGAGGAGATTTTGCTTCCAGAATATACAACCAATGTCTCCAGCTACTACTTATAGGTGACAAGTCATTTGAGGCAAAGACTGCACCAACTTGTTTGCTGGGTCTTTGACTCATGTTACCACACGACCGATTACTCCCTTTGTCGTCCGCTCCAAGTTCATGAAGCGAAGCACTCCACCTAACGCTCCATCGATAAGTAAATGCCGGTATCGTTTACCATCTTCTGCATCGGGCTCATTAGTATGGCCAGCCGTGACCTGTCGTGGTGCATTTCCGGCAACGAACATCTACTACGCGAGCAAGGACTTCATGACATAAATCACCATTGATGACTATAGTCCTCAAACAAACCCGTCCACGGGCATATCCACTTCCTTAAATAAAAGCTCATGTTGTTCTTCTTGATTTTCGAGTCTAAGGGTTTCTTTTGCCGTCTTCGTATACGTCTAAGAAGATATGAAAAAAGACATCTAAAAAGAATATCTAGCAAAACATATCGGAGAATTCTTATATATAACACCGCTAATACCATCTTAGTCTAAGTCGATCAGATTATTAAAGTCTCTGGTCATTAAGAATAGAGGCCGTAACGCAAGCCGCTGAATATTCTTGTATGTTGTATGTAGGCTAGGAAAAGCAGGTTCGCCGACTAAAAATGCTTATGATTTGGCTAACTCCAGCCGGGCTGACGCAATTGGTAGCGTATCAGATTTCTAATTTTCCCCCTCGAAAGTTAGGGGAGAATGTTACTCTGGAAGTTGTGGGTTCAAGTCCCACGCTCGGTTTTTTTTTAAATGTCCCTCACCGACTTTTACACCGCTTAATTCTGTCGGCAATTTGGTTGTGCCATGGCATCGCTCATACCCAAATACAATTTGCTCAATAATGGGAATGCAATGACAACTAAGACCGAATACTATAGGGATACCATAATAATTACGACACCCTACTTAAGAACTGCGGCCAGCGGTAGACTTACCTAAAGTGGTTTGTGCGCATAGTGTGTCACAAGTAAACCGTGTGCCTGTCTTTAGTCTCCAAAAGGAATATGTTTCTACATGCTATACATCAGATTAAGGACAGAAAAGAATTGGTACTCATACAAGTTTATTCAGTAGTACTCTACAATGTATTCCATCTTAGTCTTCAAAGATTGACAACCTCCTCACCCTCGCAAATGTTTCCGAATCACCCCAAATTACCTACTTTATGCTTATGCGGTAAGCAAGATTCCCCTCAGAAACTACTCACTCATACAGACGTTGATGTATTCTCAGATCAACCCTCCCAAGGAGGATTGATCACCGGCAGTCTCAGCATCCCCAGACGACCGGCCCTCCCCAATCGATTCGTCTACTCCGTCGATGACAAAACGACGGAGACGAGGCGCAGTGGACTCGTCTGGGTCCTCGGGCTCCGACCAGGTGACTGCATGATGCACAACCCCATTGCCATTGGGGGCCTGGGGAGAAGGAACGTTATCGATCTCGGTTCCTTCGTTCGACAAAGAAGAGATAGTTGAAGATTCTCGGTCCTGCGAATGAGCGGGAGACACCCCAACCCCGAAAACTTCCTGAGAACTGATAGAATCAGCATCGGTACGGTTTTGCATAGTCAACGGCATGCTGGCCTGCGACTGAGAGTGGAGGGAAGCAACGGAAGTTTGGCTGTTCTCGTTGGGACCGGGCTCAGATGTGCTTGGTATTTCTGGACGCGCATCCGACACTGAAGGTGAGACTGAATTAGCAGGTTCATGCAGCCTAAGAAGTTGGAAGAAGGCCACCATACGTGGATCTGGCTCCACACTTTCCGCAACATGTTGATTGAGATCTCCCGAACCCTGTCCCGGCTCAACAGTTGGATCCGAAACAACCCTATGGTTAGCTGGCAGGGGTGGAGCAGCCGGCGGGGTTAGAGCAGCCAGCAGGGTTGCGGCAGCTTGTAGGTGTGAAGCAGCCGGCGAGGTTCTTGCAACTGGCGGATTTGGGGTAATCGACGATTTCGGAGCAGCCGACAAGTCTGGGGCACCCGACGAGTATAGAACACTAGTTGGGTTTGGACCAGCCGGCAAGGTCGGAGGATCCGGTGGGGTTAGAGCAGCTAGGAGAGTTGCATAAGCTGGCAGGTGCGAGGGAACAGGCGAATTTGCGGCAGCTGACGGAGTAGGGGCAGCCGACAGATTTGGGGCAGCCGGCGGGTTTAGAGTAGCTGACAGGTGTGTAGCAGCCGGTGGGTTTGTGTCAGGCGACGGATTTGGGACAGCTGGTGAGTTTAGATTACTCGCTGAGCTTGGAGCAGTCGCGATATTTGGAGCAGTGGGCAGATCCGAAGCATCGGGTGTATTCGATGAAACAGGCGCAGTGGGAGCGTTATTATTTGCGCGCCGCGGCAACCAAGGAAGAGCAGGCAGAGGAAGCATAGTACCCTCGAATCTAGCAGGCTCGATTCTTATGATATGGGCACCACTTTCATTCAGCACGATGTAAGGAGGCGTCCGATGCTGCCTTCCTCGTGGTTGCGACATGGGCTGAAGATTTTCAGGACGAATGCCGGCAATAAGCTGCTGCCGGATGAGCCACGCTTGGAGAATCCGTTCTGGACCATAAGGGATGGCACCCTCAGGAAACGGAGCCGGATCGAATGGGAGTCTGTAAGGGTTTCCAAATTCTGTATACCGGCGTGGCTGAGGTGCTGGCATAGGAGGAGTTGCCACTGTGTCTGGAACAGTAGACGGTTGGCACCGAGACTCGGTAGGGTAAGGAGAAGGAGGCCTATTGTGATAGGAATTGTCCCTGGAGTGATCAGAACCCATGGGATCAGTTGTCTGAAAATGAACATGTGGCATCGGCTCAAATGGTCCGGCTGTAGGGGAATCTTGGGTTGCATTTCCCTCACGCATGCCCATCGCCGATGACTGCAATCCATGATCGGCACCGGCATGGTACGAGGGTTGGTTGAATTCGTTGACAAATTGCGAACTTCGAAGGTGGGATTCATTAATCATCCGAGAAACTTCATGCTGCGACTCGTTGAGCATGCGGGAAGCTTCATTCTGGGATTGGTTGAGCATTTGAGAAGCTTCATACTGGGAATGAAAAAGCATTCGATGAGTTTGATACTGGGACGGGTTACGCATCAGAGCAGCTTGATACCGGGCTTCGGCTTCCCTGCGCGCATTTACTCGATTGGTTTCGTTGAACCTTCGTAGGTTTTCAAGATGGACGAAGAAGTCGGGGTGCACCCGCGGTCCATCAGCTTCAGAAGAATCAGAGTCGGCGTCAGCTTCCAGGTGCGCCTGGAGAATTTCAAGGGTTGTATTAGAGGGCCACCATCCGGATCTAGACTCGGCAGTATCGTTGGTACTGGTCGGATCGTTGGTAAAGCCGGGGGTATCGCCCTCAGAGGAGGACCTTGAGGAGCTACGGATGGCTGAACGTCGAGTGTGGTCCGCCATTGTGTTGAAATGGAATATTGGTTCCTGCAATTCCATGTCAGTAAGTCTCATGCTTTATTTGACCAGACACGTTCAACATACCTGCAGTGCTCAATGTTGTCAGGGCGAACTTTCAGGTGCAGTGTATGCGAAAGGTTTGAATGCGAGAACCTTTTTATTTTGCAAACAGATTAGTGTCACATCTCATAGCAACCAAATAAGTGTGTGTAGATCAGGTCAGAACGGTATTAGATAAAAGTAAACAATAGACAAGCAAACATCACATCATGGTTTCTCCAAAGAAAATCCGTGACCTGCATAGGAGACTCGTGTTGTATACAGCACATATAAAGGAAGCGGGATCAACTCACACGAGACTTACAGAGAAAGACAACACTGATGCCACTTAGTTGCCGTGGGACAGCGTGTGGTGTGTCGCGGTAAGAGATATTGAGAGGTAAGATCGGACGTGGACGTGACTGGATGGTACACGCGAGCCAAATGTTGTCAAAAAAGCGCAAAGAAGCACAAGCAGAGGCAGTCAATAGATTTAAGGAAGAACTCGAGATGAATAGACGAGGATTTGAGTAATGAAGAGTTCAAGGGTTGGATAGAGAGTTGGGTGGTAGAGGAGAGATGAGATAGGAAGGAAGAGTTTGTTGAAGGATAGATTTAAAAAGCAAGCCAGGTGTGTACATATAGGAGACCATCGTCACATGCAACGATGAGCCGTCGGAAGTGGTTATGATTCACCGCTGACGAGGTCCTCGCTGGTGTGAAAAAGTTCGAAGGCTTCTCTTCAAGCGGACGAAGCACTTAAGGACCAGAGTCACCTATCTACATGTCCACACCTGGGCAGATAGCCGGGCATCGATCAGTCGCCCTTGATCACACCTTGGAAGTCTCAAGTTGTCTTATAAAAGCCCCAAGACGGACTAAACAGCTCTACAGAAATTGGCTGCAGGTCATTAGCTCAACGCTTGTCTATGCTGAACATCAACACCACTACCAGACCTGTGCTTTTCTGTTATAGACGACGAAACAAAAAATTGGAAGAGATTGTACATTGGTTCTAATACATACATCGTATCTAAGTGAAGAGCTCCCGGTATTTCTACTAGGATGCTCGTAAGCGGCATGGGATCAAGTGTTGAAACAGCCTTGCTAGTGCTATCGAGTGAGCCTCAGTAGACTGTACAGCAAAGGCCTCTTGAGGGGTTGTGTTAGTATAATAGGGTAAAGGGCATAGAGGAAGGAGAATGAGGGGGGGGCTATTTTCTTCCTCGGGCCCATCATGGGTCGAGGAAAGGGGTGTCTGCCAGTTCCCGCGAATGCCATCAGCTTCTAGAAGTAGGTGGTGAGCTTCATGGACGAAGGAACATGACAAGACACCAGGGCAAAGATTTGCCTGAGTATGTGCAGGAGAACCAAGACAAGAGAAGACAAGAGAAACACCAATCCACGCTTAACATGTAGAGTAAAAAGCAAGACCCAAAACCTGTTGAAAGGTCACCAAAACTCCAAAAAACCAAAAATCAACAACCTGTGTTTAGGTTGGGCGGTTGACGAGATGGGGCATTATCTCCGGTTCAACAGAGTCAAGAACTCTTCGCGAGTCTTGGCGCTGGACCGCATACATCCCAGCATACAGCTGGTAGTAGTGGTGCTGCTAACCTTCTGCACACCGCGCATAACCATGCAAAGGTGGGAAGATTCCATAACGACACCGACGCCACGAGGCTGGAGGACCTCTGAAATCGCTAACGCAACTTGCTTGGTCAGACGCTCCTGGACCTGGAGTCTGCGAGAGAACATTTCTGCCAGACGAGCCAGTTTTGACAACCCAAGGACGCGGCGATCAGGAATGTATCCAATATGCATCTGTAAGTCGTTAGAATGATTATAATCACGGCATCGATATCTGCAGCTATTCTTACCTTTCCGGTGAATGGCACCATGTGGTGCTCGCACATCGAGAAGACGTCGATATCCTTGACAATGACCAACTCATCGTGGTCCTCGTGGAAGACAGCGTTGTTGACCAAGTCCCGAACATTCTCCTCGTAGCCCTTGGTGAAATAGAGCATGGCCTTGGCATACCTCATGGGGGTCTCACGAAGTCCTTCTCTTTCCGGATCCTCGCCGATACATTCCAGGATTGTTCGGACAGCTCCAGACATCTTCTCAAGCCGTTGTTCGGTCTCCTCCGGTGTCGACTCCTTCCGCTGTCTGGTTCCGGGGCCTATGTGACTGTGGTTAGAGGAATATACCAATAGAGTGATGTCCACCGATGGGGCTAGTATCACTAACAAGGCCAGCTGAGTCCATCAAAGTCGATGGGTGGGTTCAATGTGTAGGGGCTCTCAGGTCGGCTGAGAGAGGTTGAAGGCGTCAATGGGGCCGCCTCATCGCGGGGATCGCGGGGAGGGTCATTCAAGGTAGGACTATAGCCCAGAGATTAGCAATGAATCCAAAGCGCCATGGTCACCAATATTGATATCGCTGTATACATACCGCACTGGCGCCACACTGCGAATTGGCACGGAAGCAGTGGAAACGGCCGGGGTGGGGGCGGCTCCAGTCTCAGTTTCGGCCTCGGTCTCGATCTTGGTCTCAGACTTGGTCTCAGGAGATTCAAATTCAAGGGGAATTCGGGGCTCAAAAGAGGAACGAATGGATGTATTGAGACTCTCACGCTCACGAGAGTCACGGACACCCGTTGGACGTTGCAACAGCGGGGAGCTACCGTTCAGCATGTGGGACGGAATAGCTGAGGCCCTGGGGCTTGTAGGAGAACCGGAACCCATGATGGAGATGTTTCAAGAATGAAGTTAAATGTAGAAAGTAGAATAATATATCACCTTCCAAGATGATATATAAATAATAAACGAAGTGAACATCTAAAGTAAGACTCACGTTTTTTTTTTCAGCAAACGACACTAACTTTCTTTTGTCCCCCTCATCGCCCCCCACCAATCAGCACCAATCAAAAGTCACCGGGATGATGACATGCTCCCCGCGGGCAGATAACGGACTACGGGGCCGAATAGTACATGCATACATGTAGATCTGTACATATGTATGAATCCCTGCACTATATCAGAGTGTGATACAGAATATATTATATGCTCTATTCGTCACAGACTTCATATAATACTGGGTTAGCTTTTATGTAGTGGAACGTGCGGGAATGCGCTTCTCTACCAAACTGGCGCCGCGGGAAATATATTATGACAAAGCATTTGATGATGTATGAATTAAATGGTCCTGAAATCTGTAACAATTATAGATGCCGTTTAACTTAGTTGTATCTATCATATCTTAGCCAGGCTGGTGACCCTGGGTAACGATATGCCCTTATACATCCTTCAAAGGAAATATTAGGGTTAGTGGGCAATACGACAACCATGCCGCTAGCTACAAGTGGCGTGACCATATGTATAGATTTCAGATCGAATGGTGTTTTTAATGATTACTCACTATGGTCTTAGTTCACCTATACCAAAGAAACGCCCATATGGAAAATGACTGGACGAAGTCCGGTAGAAATAACATCACGCCTCAATTTCTTCTGTTGGGACATCCTCCAGGTCCTTGCCCACAATTGCATCTGCTACCTTCCATACCTGCAGTAGATTGTCCTCAGCAGCGGAACAGAGAACCCAGGGGTCACTCAGGTTCCAGCTGAAGTCTGAGATACGGTTCGTGTGTCCACCGTGCATAAACAAGCTATGAAGGTCAGCGAACAATTCAAACTAAATGAAGAGAGAAAAAAGTGTGATCACTTACAGCTCTGGCGGCCCATCTTGAGCATCCTCGGGGGTTTGCTCCTCGCCTGCCCGGCTGAGGTCCCAGAACATAATCTTGCGGTCATAACTGGAACTTGCTAGGACCGACTCCTCAAATGGATGCCACGAGATAGATTGCACCGAATCGGTGTGGCCCTCCAGCGAGTGAAGCTTCGATTTCAGGTTACGAAGATCCCAAATACCGATAGTCTTGTCGGCAGAACCCGTGGCCAGAATCGTCTCGGAAGCCGGGTTGAAGGAGATGGAGTTAATAGCATCGCGGTGCTGACCTTCAGCTGAAGCAGCCGCACGGGTGGAATCATCTTGGCGGGTATCAAGGATTTGAAGCGTAATATCATCAGAGACAGTTCCGATGAGAGAGGAGTGGAGAGGATGGTGTTGAACGTCATTGACGATCGAGGAGTGATGTGTGAAAGTGCGGCTTGGTCGGACTGCCTTGTTACCCTTGGTGTATGTAGTAATATCCCTGAGAGCTTCATTAGCTGCTAGCCACACCAAATCTTGGGTTTTCATGTTGCGCTCGCTTACCAAAGTCGAACAGTTTTATCCTCACTGCCCGTGGCGAGGTGACCGGCCACATGAGGGTTCCAGCTAAGCCCGAAGCCTTCAGCTTCATGACCTAGGAGCTCCATTTGAGGGTTCACTGTGCCAGTTGGCAAGCTGGGATGCTTAGAGCGATCCCAGATCATCACCCGACCATCCGTGCACATTGTCGCAATGATATTCGGGTTCTGTGGCTGATACCGGGCCTTGTTGACCTCGCCCTTGTGATCAATCTTTTGCACAATATTGAACTTGATTTCCATTTGTGCCTTCTTTGAACCCCCGCCATAGCCTCCAATCTCTCCTTTCTCTTCATCGTAGTCTTCAGGGTTTGGGGCATTGGGGTTTGGGAGTTGCACTTGGGCAATTTGGAGGTAATTCTGCGCTTCACCAGTGGTATGTGTGCCGATGAGGAGACGGTGGGTTGAGTAAGGCTTGTCCGGGACTCTGAGGATAGGCTTAGTTAGGTTGGTGATTGGACAAGTAGGAGTTTGAGGCGTACTCTTGCTTATCTGGAAGCCACTGGGTTGTAAGAGTTGGCCATTCTAATGCTGTGCTCAGGATCATATCATAGAGGAAGGGCGCATTCTTCTTCCATGTTTTGTACTCTGTCACCAATGAATATAATTAGATATAACCGTAATTGGCAGAACTGGAGACAGGTTGAGC